CCTTTATTTTTTTTAAACAAATGCAATAATTATAAGGGTATGTGATAAATACGACTAGAGGCCAGATACATATATAATTCTTGTACATTAACCATGTAGTATTGTGTATGTGTGTGATGTATACGGGAGAGCTGCATGGTACGTGGTAGAAATGTGAAGGTCAGAGGACAACTTGGTGGGGCCAATTTTCTCCTCCTGCCATGTGTTACGAGAAGCAAATTGAAGTTTCCAGGCTTATGAGGCAAGTGTCTTTACCTCCTGTGCCATCTGGCCAGCCCTAAATATGGGGTTATTAATCAGCACTATTAAGATTCAGCTGAATAAAATGTAAAAATTATAGAGACCAGAGCCTATCCCGATTCTAATTTAATGATTGGACATGTGATGTACATGTGCAGCACCAAGCATGTGGAGGTCAGAGGATAATTTCGTGGAGTATAGTCTCTGCTGCCTTTAAGTGGGTTCCAGGGAGCAAAGGCAGATCACTAGGGACAAGAGCTTTTACTCTCTCAGTCATCTTGCTTGTCCCCATCCTCATTACATTGACGCTTCTTCCTCTGGGTATGCATGCTCAATGAATTATGTTTTAAAGCTCTATAGATTATGCTAATGTGTAAGTCCTGGCTAAGAACTGCTTTTAAACCATCATCAACTAATGACAAAATTGTGAACCCGTCACTTCAGAAAAAAAGGTTGCCCATTTCACAGTTTTGTCTAAGGAGTGATTGTGAATGTTTCCTGGTTTCTGACTGTGTATCTGCTGCCTATCTATGTGCCATCTCTTTCCTGTTCAGCCTGATGGCCTTGCCATTTATAACTTCTGGACTTTCGGGATGAAACCCTGATCTTTGGTCCCCAGTGCCATCACAAGCCTGGCTTCTGGTTCTTTGCTTCAGGTTAAGTTCTCTGGACTTGGCTCCCCTCCGTCTTTGCATCTGTCTCCACCACACACCTCCAGGACAACCTGCCAGCAGCACTGACTCAGGGAAGAACTGCATGGGTCTATTGGCAAGTGATTTCCAATAACTGTAAAAGGGACAGTGTTACTGATGTATGCTACATCAGCAGGCTCCTTTGATTTCCTGCAAACATGCTTTTGTTTCAGTGCCCCCCAACAAAACTGATCTAAGAAAGAGGATTAGATTTCTTTCACTGGACTGAAGGCCTTCTTCCTGGGCCTGATGACCTTGGCTGTGCTTCCTTCGGTCTAGCTGTGGCTATCAGCAATGCAGTTCTACCTTCCTTCACATTTTTAATGGCTTGATTTTTTTCTTCTCCTTTCATCATCAACTGCTGCTTCTTTAACTCATACAGGACTAGTATAACTCTACAGCACACAGGAACTAGACATTTGTATGGCCTTACAGGAGTCTGTTTTCAGACAGGCAGGGCTCACACATACCTGAAAGGCCCTGGTAAGAAAATGAGATTAAATCTCTAAAAATTATGCAATCACATGGAAAGAAAAATGGCATGGCAGTGAAAACAACTTGTCATCAATCCTTGAAGTACTAAACACAAACCTTGGAAACTACTATCACCCACGATTTAACAGGTTTCTTTTTCTTCCAGAATCATTTTCTGGCTTTCAGTGTCTTTATATTTTCTTAGACTACCACAAACTCTTTGAAGTCCCGGCCCTCATTTTTTCATATATTAATTCCCACTAGCCCTAGTCTGCAGCAGATACTGGCTGTTAGTTCATCATTTTTTTTTTATAGTCTTAATCTCTAATAATCTCATGCCTCGCCGGGCGTTGGTGGTGCACACCACACTTTTAATCCCAGCATTGGAGAATTAGAGGCAGGCGGATCTCTGTGAGTTAGAGGTCAGCCTGTTCTCCACAGCGAGTGACAGGAGAGGCTCCAAAGCTACACAGAGACACCCTGTCTCAAAATACAAAACAAAACAAACAAAAAACTCATGCCTCTACTATGGTTCATTCCCACAAAACAGTATGCTATAATTTGTTTTTAATAAATTAAAAACTTTCCGAGTTCTTTTTTTCCCTCTGAAATATTAGGAAAAGCCCAAACAACAAGGGCAGATTAAAAAAAAAAAAAAAGTGTCACAAACATGCCACTTCAGTTGCCCAGCAGGCCAGAATTTCAGCATAGAGAAAATCCGGAAATGCAGGACCGGTGGGAAAGGCCCTATAAATACCTACAGTCTAACCAGGCCTCTATGTCCCAAATTCAACTTGTGTATCAGGCAGCGTCCTGCAGTTTTCCAACTACACTTGAGAACAATTCATACGTCTTGCAGGCGCAGATTGAAGGCTTCAGGTAATGTGACATGGGCAGAGAATTTTTCTGACACAATACTGGCAGGGACTGAAAGGCGGGTTTCCGGGAAATCTATTCTCTGGGTCACCTGCGCAACGTGGTCATCCTTTCCATTTTAAAACGAGGGCAGTGGATTAGAATCTGGCAAGCTCCTTTTTTTCTTAATATACTCTAGTGCCCAAACACGAGTGGAAGAGGGGAACTTGGTTGGGGAGGACCGCTGTTTTCCTGGTCCATACTTGAGTTCCCCTTCGTGTTTGCAGGGTTGGGGGAGGCACTCCAGGACTGGCTTCCCTTTCTGTGGGTGCTCTGACTCGCTGCAGCCGGAGCCGAATGACTGGCGGGGATTAGCACCAGGTCATAAACAACCTTTCACTTCCCCTCCCCCCTGGGCCGTCCCGGGGCCCGGCCTGCAACGGCCGCGAGGGCCTGCGCGGTTCCCTAGCCCCGGCCAGTTGGCTCTCCTCAGCCCTGCACTCTCAATCGCGACGCAG